ATGTGGACACACCTTTCATAGAACATATGTGAGATAGGAAATTATATGTGTTTGCTTCAATATATAGGTGTTTATCCTGTCATAATATTAAAAAGAGGAATCTTTGCCTGAGTAGCCAGTAGCTGCAGCATCTAATGGAATATATCTATTTTTCTCCAAACTTTTTTCAGTTGCTTACATGAAAATTCCACTCCTGTCTGGAGTCCAGTAGCTGCCTATTTCAACATCCACTTCAGTAATCCTGGTATCTAGCCATAAGAAACAATGGGACGAAATGGCCTAATGCAAATAATAATTATACGACATGCTATATTTTGAAAGCATTAAACAAACATTCGCCTTGTAATCCATTGAAACACTCTTGGGAAGTAATAGTATTCCTATTTTAAAGACAGGGAAACTGAAACGCCATAAAGGGTGAATGGTCTTTTGGAGGCCACACAGCAAGTAATGCAGTGCAGTTAATATTAAATCCCATCATCTTCTGGCTCTTTCAACCCACCCCCTCCCACCCAGCTCAGCTTTCTGAACCACACTGTTTCTCTTCCAAGCAATTTGCCTTAAAATACTCAACAGAGTCTGTCAGGAATAACAATAATCTAGGACACAGACTCATTTGTCTGGCCCTGGCCAGAGCAGAAAACTCCAAATAAATGTTTGTAAGCTAAATGAAACTTGTTGTATGCAGCCCTATTTAGTGGAGGGTCTAATCGGGCCACTACATACTGTACTAATAATCTTCAGTAATACTCTGTGGGAGGTCTTAATGTTAGTAGGCTACATGTTTTTAGGCTCTGCCCTGATCCTTAAACAAAATCCAACTTTACAGTTTGTGTTCTTTCTCTGCTTCTCTCCCTTAAGGCTTCCAGCCTAACTTTATTTCCAGAACTTCTCTTACTCTGAAAAAATAAGTCTATTAAAGTTTGTGTCAGTGATGGGAAGAACTTTGCATAAGTATGTTTGTTTTGCAAAAGTGACTGCCAAGTATTGTTTTAGTTTCATTTTTTTAAGCTTCCCTCACCATTGTTTACAGTAGCCTCTGAGAAACTTACAATGATAGTCGACTCCATACCAATTTTCTTCTTTCTCCTTTTGGCAAACGTTTATGGACTATTCCCACACCTCAAGTTTTTACTGGAGCAGATGCCTTCTTTCTTTCACCTTCTTTTCTTTCTTCTTCATGATGATATAAGACAAATTCCAGGAAGTGGGAACAGCAATTTGTTAAAGGCTTTTTGATGCAGTGTCATAAAAGGGAATTGAAGAACGACTAGGAAGCAAAATTATGCTATGCTTGCCTTAAGAGTCAATACAGTATCAGTGGGGTGACGCAGATCATTTAGACAAACAAATAATGAGAATGTCATTAATTGTTACAGAGAAATGAATATGAGTATGATGAAGGTATTCTGTGATTGTGCATATCCCTATTAGGTAACATGTCCCCTTGTGTTGACTCTTCTGATATTAATTCCCAATCCTAGTGGTATGTTTGCAATCAGAATATAATAGGTTAGATCCACTTTGAGATGACTCCCAAATCTACACTCACTTGCACTTGATCTGCTTCCATGTGCATTGAAAGCAAATATGAAATCTAAACAATTTGTGACCCATCAAGGTGAATGTGGCCCACCAACATGCGGAGAAAGGCAGAAGCAAGCCTTTTGAGTTCTCCGGTGGGCCATCAGCCATGGCTCAGCCTGGGGCACAAGTTGTACAGACCTGACGTGTGCTACCAGCTATTGCTACGTTAAGCCCAGTCTCCTTTTACTGCTATGAAAGTGTTTGCTACCTTATGAATAAAGAGGACCTGCATGGGTAGAATTGTTGGAGGTGGGGTTTGCAAGCCTGCCCCTCCCCACTGTAAGCCAGCGTAGGCTCATGAATAAAGCTTGCATGAATAAGGTGATATTATTTATTTCATAAAATTTTATTTCATAAAATTTATATACTGTTTGATAAAACCTCATTGATTAGGAGAGAAGGCAAGAAATAGATCCCAGCAAATGTTGACTTTGACCTCCTCCTCTTCTCACTTGTGTGTTCTTTGTCACACCTGCTCATGTTTAAAGTCCAGAAGTGATCTGTTGTTCAATGGTGGTTGCACACTGCCCAGGTCATTACATTTCTATTAAAGTTGATTGTTGCTGAGTAAATGTGTGGTCCGCAACTACTGAAGCTGTAACTGACTGAGATGCACAGTAAAACAGAATGGCTTTGAGGCCCTCTTCCAAGCAGGTTCAGCTCCTCTGTTGGCTAGCAAGGCCGATGTTACACCTTAATATATGCTATTGTTGTACGGTGTATTTTGGGTCTATGGGCCACAATAAAGCTGTGCGTGTGGTTTCAAAGGGGGCGTAGGGTAGACTGGGTTCTTTATGACCTGAATCCAACTTGTGTGTTTGTGTGGCTGCCAAAATCTCATCCCCCAAACTGTGGAGAATTCAACTGTTTAACTTTAATCTGAATCCAAGTTTATTCTCAGGTTCATTTATCTCAATATAGGCTGCACAGTAGCTTTAAAGGTTTTATTTGTGTGTTAAAGGTTGTTGCTGTGGTTATAAAACTGTTTAAATTTCAAGGTCAAGAAGGAAAATACGTTATTTTGCATGAAATTCGTAATGTGAACTCCAATAGCTTGGGCAGGCTGCAAAGCTATGGCATCTTTGGGCTTGTGGTTCTTGTGGTATATTGGATCTCTTTTAGTCATTTCAGGTCTGGCCTGTGTTTGACTATTTCATTCTCGGCTCTTAATTTTTATGACATTGTCTTGCTATTTACTTCAAAAAATGCTCTTATGTTCAAGCTTATATTATTTGCCATGTAGTGATTAATTAATACACTTACAACAGAATTCTGTAGGGCTTATTCCGAGGTAAGTGTGCATAGAATTTCAGTTTTAAAAAGTGAATACTGAAGCTTCACACATGCATTCTCTACCCATCCTTGGAAAATAATAGAAAATGTGCCCTTTAAAAAGATACAAAAAAATGAATATCAATAACAGCAACAACAAAAAACCCATTGGTTGGCATTCGTCTGTCTCAGGAGACAATGGAAGAGTGTTCCTTCAGGGGTTGGAGAGTTACAGTGCCTGTTGTGACTGTAGAGACCAATAACCCCAACAGTCCCTCCTAAATAATATCCCAGCCCAAGATTCTGTTCAGCAGCCTCAGCTTTTGTAGCTGGAGTCAGTCCAGGCAGTACCATCCCAGGCCAGGTAGAAAAAAGCAACAAGGCAGGCAGCAGGTCTTCCAGGACTCACAGTCAATATTCAAAACCCTTTGGCGCTCTCACCCCAAGGAGACTTTCCTAGTGCCCACAACGTCGAGTTTGCAGCAGCCAAAACCTTTATTTTATTATCCCAGCTGCTTTGCAATAGCTATTTTGTCATTGGATTATGATTGCGTGCTTTTATATTTTGTTACGTTTTTATATTTCAGTAAATGCCCTGAAAACATTTTTGAAGGGTGGTATACAAATCCACTAAATAAATAAATACGTTTTAAAAAACAAACAAACCCTGAGCATTCCATCCCCTCATCATTAGTGACTCAGGCCAGTTGTTTCAGTCTGGAGATGAGAAATGCAGAAATCCCACCTACTTCCAGAGTGGTCAACCCTTGTCTTCCTTGGTCGATGTGTTGAAGAGCGTATGGACAGGTTGTCTTGGAAGAGGCAGATGCCTCTCAGAGAGGGAGGACCCAGCAGCATTTATGCTAAGAACTCTGTAGAGCTATGTTTCGTCCCTTGTTATTCAAGATCTATGGAAAGCTGCGCAGATGTGCCACTGGGGTAAAGATTCATCAATATGCCCCATTCATTCTGTTCAGGTGAATCAGTGAATGTTTTAAATTGCTGTGCGGAATCAGTAAAGAATTGAATGGAGGCTCATAAATGGAAGCTAAGTCCTACTGTTGGTTGGCAGGCTGTTTGACATGGAAGTGGTAGTCAACCAGTATTGGCTGGTGTTGCACTGCCCTTAGAGCTCAGTGGCTGTCTTTGGTTGGGACTGCCTCCAAAAAGTGCTTTGAAACTTCACTTGGTCCAAAATGTTGTAAACTGGGACTCACAGTGGGGAACATGTTTCACCTTTTCTCAAAGACCTTCATTGCCTTCCAGATTGTTTCTGAGCACAATTCAAAGTGATGGCTTTAACCTGCAAAGCCACCAAAGGTCAGGGACCAAATGAGCCAGTCTGTCAACTAAAACGATCATCTCTGTTTGTGTTGCCTTTAGAGCTAGCTGCTGCAAAAAAGGTGGCCACAAACGTATTTGAGATGGTGATTAAGTTGTGTACTTCCTTCCTCTAGCAAATCCAGTCAACTCTTTTGCTAGCTTTAAGGCAGCAGATAGTCTGTCCCATTTCCCCAACCTTTTAACATCAAATGACTTTTTGATCTGCTCATTTGATTTTTATCCAACTTTTTTTAACCATTGTTGATGCTTTTGTATGTTTTTAATTGGTTTTGTAAGCTGCCTTAGAGGACCTTGTTGAAAGTTGGTGTAGAAATCTTTAAATATACCAGTCTTCAACATACAGCTTATCTATTTTGAGTGTGAACAATATTAAAAATATGAAAACCAAGGTGGATGGATTTGAATCTAGGAGACTAGGATTAGTTCCCATGAAGTCTCTGTCAAGGAGAGTCTCCTGGAGTGAAGAGATTGCATGGATTTATAAAGGACAGAAAAACTACAATAATAGTCGTTCTGACCCCCGTGTATTGGGTAATTAACAAAACAGGATGTCATATTTTTGCACATGTCCTGGAATAGTATCACTAACCACTTGTGAACCACACTGAGCTTTTAATAGAAAAAGTGGTTGCTTAATGCTTCCTCACCAGAAATATTGTGGAAGCATTCTAATGCTTGCTGTTAGATTGCAGCCAGAATGGTCTACAAAACAGGAAGAAAGCCTTGCTCTGCTCTCTGCCTCTTTTCCCTGTTTAAGTTGATGTGATAATTCATTACAGATTTTCTTTTTTTGACAGAGCGCCTACCGCAGAAATGGGATGACTTTTCTTGCTTGCTAATATGGATGTGGCTACAGCAACAGGAAAGACCATGTTATATTAAGGTGATTCCCCCTCCCCGCATGACACCCTTCGGGGGGGGGGTAAATAAATAAAAGTTCCAGCCAGCATGTGTCTACTGGTGAGTGGGCTGGTTTGTTGTGACTATCCACTGGCTGACTGTCTCTTTTTTCAGCCCCCACCCATTGTTACTCTTCTTTCCTAAATGGAACATTTAGGCAATTAATGGCAGGATGTTTGGGCTATTGTGTAGGTGGATGAGAATGCAGTATCCCTTTTGTTAATTTTAGTTCATCACTATATATCCTTTTACATAGCAGGGCAAAAAGAAGCCAGCATATGGTTTATTTTTTGTCCATTAAACGGCAACTGATCTTTCTTTTCTATTTTCTTTCCTTCTTGCCAGGAAAATGTTTTTAGGGGTGTCAGTTAAAGTATTTGGGGGGGGGCAGAAACTCCTAGTAATTAAGCATTCAGTGTCCGTTGAAAACTGGGGTACTGTAGCAGTTATGTCCATGAGCTGTGAGCCAGGAAGTCCTTACTGTGACCTTTAAGCTGAGCTAAGAACTCACCAATCTTAGCTTCCATCTGTGATCATTATAATAATACTGGTTTACCTTGTTTGTTTTTTGAAAAACAGTCTTTTCCAAACTGTGAGAGAACTGTTATTGTAGCATGACAAAATTATTATTAAATAAATAAAGCCTCCTGCGAGGCCAAACCACACACCCCCTATGGATGTCCTTAAAAAGGTAAAGGTACCCCTGCCCGTACGGGCCAGTCTTGACAGACTCTAGGGTTGTGCGCCCATCTCACTCAAGAGGCCGGGGGCCAGCGCTGTCCACAGACACTTCCGGGTCACGTGGCCAGCGTGACAAAGCTGCATCTGGCGAGCCAGCGCAGCACACGGAAACGCCGTTTACCTTCCCGCTAGTAAGCGGTCCCTATTTATCTACTTGCACCCGAGGGTGCTTTCGAACTGCTAGGTTGGCAGGCGCTGGGACCGAGCGCCGGGAGCGCACCCCGCCGCGGGGATTCGAACCGCCGACCTTTCGATCAGCAAGTCCTAGGCGCTGAGGCTTTAACCCACAGCGCCACCCGCGTCCCAATGGATGTCCTTAGGCGAAAGTAATTATGGTGCAGCACTGTATCAGGTGTAATTGAAGCATTTGTCATCATTCCTGGTGCGGAAATGCTGCCTAGTTTTCCACCATCAGAGAAGGCAGCCCATTATGTCTCTAAGGTGAGGCTCCTTCAATCAGGGCACACGCTCAGAGTAGCGAGTCATGCATAGACACAGGGAGTGGACTCCTTGAAAAGCAGGTAATTGCTCTGTCACATTTTTAGAACACATTTTCAGTTGCAAGAGTGAAATGTGCATACAGTTTTAATACAGAATAATGGGGGGGGGGGACTATGCTTCTATTCTTAGCATCACTGCTAAGAAGAAGATAATGGAAGTTCTTCAGACACTTGAGGGAAAGCTTGCACAACCTAGTAGAATGATTTTAGTGACTTCGTATTCCAGTGGGGACTGCCTCCTTCTTCTCATCAAGCTATGGAATGCAGATTGCCAGGGAACATGTGGAGCTTCCCATGCACATTCCATGTTAAAGAGCTCAAAACGATGTGCCAGTGACACTTTGGTGTGTGCCATTTCTGCTTAAAAAAATAAATGTTTAGAGGTACTCTCATTTTCCTACTTGTATTGAAATACTGCCCCTCAATGAGGCCAAATTTAGATGCACAAAATGTTTAGAGGTATGCGTACCCCTGCATCCCCCTGAAAAAAGCAGTGCCTAGGACCATGGCAAGGGTCAAATGGAAGGCTTTTCTATTTGAGGTAAACAAGGCCAAGTCCCAGTGACCTTCAAAAATCAATATTAAGATTTAAGGTTTCCTAAGGAATGACATTGCTGAAAGCAATCAATCTTACTAGGCTTACTTTGCCTCAAATGTCCCATTCGTGTTTTCAGTATTTTTTTCAGTGAAATGTATTAAGCTCTATGTCTATTGAGCAGCAAGTGTGTTAGAGCCGACTAAATGGAATTCATGAGTTCACTATCTGCTAATTTGTCTGTACATTCATACAGTAAATCTGTGGTCTTCATGACGACTATAGCAGAACATAGTACAAATTCTGGAGTGAGGTCTGAACATGAAAATTGTTCTGGTTATCGTTTTGGATGGGAAGCGCATTGAATGTTTCACTTAAACTCTCCAATATCAACCCATTGGCAAGCGCTGCTGCAGCAAACTTAATCAAAGGACTGAGAAAGATTGCAAACAGAGGACATTCACAATCAACTAAAGGAATGATTTATTATATATACCAACCTTATCACTGGACAGTTTTCAAAACTGGGTATTCTTGTGAATTGTTGCAGTTGATACAGTATTCTACTGTACGAACTGGCAGAGTTGTAATTTTAAAAAAATCCATGTCATTTTCCTGGAACTAATCTGCATGTTAAAGAACTAAAAATAATATGTACAATAAAGAAGAAGAAACATTTCTGATGTTCCGTCTATGCTTGCTGAAATGTATGATTAAACTTTTCTTTTTATCATGATTTCTTATTTTTCTTGGCGTCCATAATGATGGAAAATTATATGCTTGCTGTAAACATCCAGACTATTTAAAAGGACACCAGCATTTATTGTATTTGGTTTCGATCTGCAGGCATATAAGCAAATGAAAACATTTTGGGCCAAGAATACTGGAATAAAAATTCCTTCTGTAGCTGTATCTTTCCCAGATTTTACATTTGTTTTTTAAAAAATGCATCAGCAGAAAAAGCACTGGCATGTCTTTCTTACTGGTACACTTACAACCCCAGAGAATGAAAAATCAACATATATTTCTCTTAGAAATATGACAGATCATGTTTTTGTTGGTCTGCTGTATATTTGTCTGTCTTGAACAGTCTGACAGGCAATTATTTATAAAATCTAGGTTTGTTCAAGAAACCCATATAATAACCTTTCTCTTCTCCAAGAAGCAAAAATTATAAGGAAGCCAAGAAGCAAGAATTATAAGGAAAACAAGCTACACTTTGTCTCACTTTCTTGGACCAGCCTGTATATATTCGCATAATGGGTGAATACAGCATTCTTTCAAGTTTTTCCTTTTCCTATACTTCCTGATATTCCTATTCTTTTGATCACATCCCTTTTAGCTTGCATCCTAAGCTTCATTTAGGGTGAAGGTGCCATTCACAGTCATGAGATAAGCTTTGAGGTGATGTTGTTCACCCTACTTTGTAATAATCAGCCACATTCCAGCCTATTTAGGTGCAGTCCAGCCCACTGAGCTCAGCCAATAGAATATGCCAAAGGCTGTGTTGAAATCTGTTCAGAAGGAATAAACAGCAGAACCAAGTCTTCAGGAAGGACGTTGTGTTCAAATAAAGCAATGCAAAATAATTCACTGAGGATCAAGTATCCTATATTATTGGCTTGTGCTTATATACTTGGTTTGTAGATGACATTGATTCCTTATTGTAGATGCACATAGTAGTATGGAGAGGCATTGTGACTCAGTGCAACCTTATCTCAACTCAGAAGTTAAGCCTGTTGAATTCAATGGGATCTGCACCCAAGTACAATAAATGTGGTTCAGTGATTGAATGTATAATCCCCTACATCAGTGTACTGTCAGAGAATGCACAGAGTGGGACTTGCTTGTTAGGAAGCCTGAAACCTTCAGAATGAGCCTAGAGATAAGGTGGGATGTGAAGAAATGTGAGTATCATTTAAAAGCTTCCAGATGATTTGCTGCATAAGGCATGAAAGTTGCATGTTTGAAGCAAGTGGGAGCCAAACATGCTTAGGTGAAGCTGTTATTCATTAGTGCGTCAGGACTTCAGGTAACTTAAAACAGTTTTATTAGAAAAGAGATCTTCCCTTTAATGGAGTGAAGTGTAGCTTGCTAGTTTTCTTCCTATTGCCTTCATTTCGGTCAGCCAGCCAGTTTATGTTACTTCCTAGGAGGCTCTCGGGCTTACATGGTTTGGAAGCGGTAGAGTGTGCTTTGGGGGTCAAAGCGGGATTGTTGTGGGAAAAATTCTTTTCTGGCATTTTTCAGAATGGGACCAAATTTGCATTAAAACTGCCGTCAGCCATGTGCTGTTCTCATAAAATATTTTACCGTTTCCTGTCTAGCTCATGTGGAATGTTTCATAGTACATAAACACTTCCACAGATAATTTAAGGATAAATAGATAGTGACATTTGTCACAGGTCTAGCCCCAAGTTGAAGACTATTCTATTACAGTTCATTGGCTGAGTGAATCTTCTTTGGTTTTGGTTTTAGTCTAGGGACCAGGTTAGGCTTTTAAAGCGCCAACTGTACATCTGTACAGAGCAGCAGTTCAGTTAGGGAAACTTGGTGGCATGCATTAAATCCTTGACTTTTCAGAGGGCAACAAGCCAACATTATGCAACAAAACCATCCCTGGAGGAACTGAACGTACATTTGGTGGCTTAAGTAAGGCCAGATGGCTTTAAAACCAGTAAAAGGGTAGCTATTCTAATATAACTTTTATGGTCCCTTAAGATAATGACACTCTAAAAAATCCCATATATCATGGAAGGACAAGAATCAGATACTTGAACTTCCATAAATCATTGATGGAAGCAATAGAAACAACCCTTTAAAAGACAGAGTACCATGTATTACGTTGAAATCTTCATATCTTATTCCCAGGAATGATATTAATTACAGGGGAGCATCAGTTGTCTTTTCTCTATAACTGGGAGAAAAGTACAGAGATTTCTCTGTGTTGCTAGCAATAAGAGATATAGGATGACCAAAACTAGAAATATAGAGGAAAAATATAGCTATAAACTATACAGGTATGTTTTGTTTTTGCCATATATAATATCTTACAATGGTCATGGGGGAAACTATCTTAAATGGTAATGCTGTGTGTGTGCAAACACTGACTCCAGACATTTTTTCTTAACACTGCCGATTTACAAAACACATCAGACGAAAAACATCATACCCTTTGGTTCAAGAGAGTTACTTGAAGTGGGTCTGTGCTTAATGGAGATCTCTCAAGATGCCCAAGCAGTACCAGTTATAATCTATTGAAAAGAGATAGGCCAACTTTTGAGATGTAACCAAATCAGCCACCTCTTAATGAAAACGTAGTACAAAAATGTTATTAGGAAATATTCCCAAGTCAAGGCACCAAGCTACCAGGCAAGGCAATCTGGTTCAACACCAGAACTACTGTATTACCCAATAAGAAACTGATGAGAGAGGAAGTGAAGCCTTCTCTTCCTGTTCTCATTTTCTCTGTGCCATGTAACTGACTGTGGAAGATGTATCTAAGCAAGCTCCAAGCTTAGAGCATGTGCTTGAAGCTATTTTTTTGTATTCTATACCCAAGAGGTATCTTGCTGCTGCTTGGATAAATGCATGAATTGGACCTTTGGAACATTGTGTAAGTAAAGCATCTTAAACTTACTTAACAGTCTCTGGGCTGTTCATTGTAAGTTGGGTAGAAGAGAGGAGCACTGTTTGCAAGCTGACTAAATGGGATAAAAGAGTCTAACAACTTAATTTCTAACACTATACTGCTGCTTGACTTTGTATCTTTAAACTCTGCTACCGGGGGCTCTCTCCGGCTGGAGAGTGAATTTAGCCCAGCATTTTGAATCCTGGCACCCAGCCAGTTCTTTTATTATTTACCTCCCACAAGTGGGTCACAGGGATTCAAATTTTCCTCCTCCACATTTCACATTGCCTATGGCCAAGGGGAAGGCTTACTGTAGATATGATGGTCACCTCCCCCTGACATCTCGGTGATATTTTGGAGGTAAAAAAAAACCTCCCACAAAACAAAACACAGAGAGAGAGAGAGAGAGAGAGAGAGAGAGAGAGAGAGAGAGAGAGAGAAGCAGCAGCAGCAGCAGCAGCAGCCATTTTCCCTCTTCTGCCTTTCTTTTCCTATTTACTGTGGCAGCCTTCTCAGTCTGGCACTGGCCATTGGGAGAAAGGCAGGAGAAAGCAATTTCCATCCAGGAGACTCAATTTGCTAAATTGGATGTTCTCATAGCTTGTCCTAGTGAAATTATTAATTATAATTTGAACTTTCATTTTAAGAAACTGAAGGGACCACTCCTGCAATATTCTAGAATTTGTAATATCATGTAAGTGGCAAAAGGAGAATTTGAATAGTGGGCATTTTTTAAAATTTATTTCTTAAAACCTGGTAATCTTCTGTGCTAACTTTCATAGTGAAGAGACCAAACATCTTGGTTTATTACAGAGGCTTATAGCCTTGTAATGACATAAGTGTTCTAAGTTTGTAATACCTATGGGTGTCAAAGACTGAGGAAATCCTTTATTTGAACTCTGGAGACCTGCCCACCAACTCAGAACTTTCTGTCTCGCCCGCCACCCTGCCACTCAAATGCTGGCAATTGTCTGTATTTAAATTCTGGCCATGCTGTTGTTGCTGATTCTGGCAGGGAGTCTTCCTAGCATTTCCTACAGGAGCGCAAATAATTTTTTGAGAGGAGAACACCTGGGTAGATAACATCTCAAAGCAAATTTCTTCCAGTGACTGGGGATGCCTACAGAATAGAGAACATACTTTATATTCCAGTGGAATCACAGCCAAGACATACAAATAGGGCGCAGTTTTGGCAAACTCATCATGCGTTTCCTTTTACGCAGGCAGTATTTTTAATTGTGTCCTAAGCTTATGGACCCAAATAATACATGTGCAGTTTGAAAGAAGTTGAGAATTATATGCTGTAGAAATAGATGGTTAGAGGTGAAAAGGTATTAAAGGAGCTTACAAAAAGGTATTTTAAAACACATTCTAATTATTTGAAAAGCAAAGTATCAACTTTAAATAATTTCCTGGTTTGTGCAGGGAGGGCAATAGTTAGTATTTTTATGATACTTGTATATTGAGCAGAGGGAGGGGGAAGTTGTCAAAGCTGGATGCTGAATAAATACCTCACTGCTTGCTGAAATTATATTTGAAACTTCCTTGAATTTTATTCTACATGGATTGTGCACTTGGCTGCCATTTGCTTCCTCCAGACTCCCAAAGGTAAGTCTATTGTGCCCTCTGGGGGTTCTCTACTGCTTCAACTTAGAACTCAATTCCATTTTTTATTTTTTTGCTTATCATAAAATATTGCTACATTTTTTCTACTTTGGGCTTGATGAACAAAGAAATTTATTGCCTTCTTTACATCAGGAAGTCTAGGTTTTCCTGACATTTTATTACTTTGAATATTAGAAACATTTCAATCCCAGACAATAAATATTACATGATTATTCTTTCCAAATGGATAGGCTATTCCTCCCCTCTCCTCCATGCCCCTGCTCCAGGTTTTACTATGCAACACAATATTACCAAGCAACACCCAAAATTATATAGACACTTCAGATTTTTGATATTAAATTGATCTTGAAAAGCCAGAGATGCGTCCCAGAGTTTGCTTGCAAGTTATGGACGAAACAGTTTGAAACAGGAGATGACCCAACAAAAGGTATGAAGTTTTAAGTTCACTGATTTCAGTGGGATAGCTTGATAAGCGCATG